CCAAAGGGTTTGGTGCGGGTCACCACTGAAACCCGGACCCGACCCAGACCCGCCGAACCTTAACCGTCAATGAGTTGAGAAAGTGTCCTGGTGGACAGAAAATACATGCCTCGATGTCTGTTGTGATGCAAATTGTTTGATACATACAAAACTTATAATACGATTCTGTCCACCCGGACAGAATCGTATTGCTAGTAACATTGATAGAGGTTAGTTGTACTGGGTAGAGATAACTGAAGTACGTCAATGAGTTGAGAAAGTGTCCGGGTGGACAGAATCCTATTGCTAGTAACATTGATAGAGAGGTTAGTTGTATTGGGTAGAGATAACTGAAGTACGTCAATGAGTTGAGAAAGTGTCCGGGTGGACAGAATCGTATTGCTAGTAACATTGATAGAGAGGTTAGCTGAACTTGATAGAGATCACTGAAGTACCGTCAATGAGTTGAGAAAGTGTCTGGGTGGACAGAATCGTATTGCTAGTAACATTGATAGAGAGGTTAGCTGTACTTGATAGAGATCACTGAAGTACCGTCAATGAGTTGAGAAAGTGTCCGGGTGGACAGAATCCTATTGCTAGTAACATTGATAGAGAGGTTAGTTGTATTGGGTAGAGATAACTGAAGTACGTCAATGAGTTGAGAAAGTGTCCGGGTGGACAGAATCTTATTGCTAGTAACATTGATAGAGATGTTAGTTTGTACTTGATAGAGATCACTCAAGTACCGTCAATGAGTTAAGAAAGTGTCCGGGTAGACAGAATCTTATTGCTAGTAACATTGATAGAGAGGTTAGTTGTATTGGGTAGAGATAACTGAAGTACGTCAATGAGTTGAGAAAGTGTCTGGGTGGACAGAAAATACATGCCTCGATGTCTGTTGTGATGCAAAATTGTTTGATACATACAAAACTAATATTGCGTCTTCTTGGAAAGTGTCCGCGTGGACAGAAAGAACAATAGCTTCGTTTTAACTTCTCTATCACATCAGGTTTTACTCGGGTCTGACTTTTGACCTGAGAAGGGTTTTCCTACTGGACCCGATACCCGACCCGGATCCGACCCGAAAATTTTCCATGAAAACCCGGCACTCGGGTCGGGTACATTTGGTCAATGGACCCGGACCCGACCCGAAAGACCCCAAAACCCGCCGATCCTTAGTGACTACCCGTCAGGCTCTGCTCAGGTGTCAAATACAGGTGAGGGATAAAGAAAAGAAAGAACACTCAACAATGCGAAGAATATAACAGCAAAGAGCAAATCACTGTGTCAAACGAAGGTCAGAAGGGTCATCAAGGGGGCATACAATCGAGCGAGATGCAACAGCGTAGAAAGATGAGACGGATCAACAAGATTGCGGTAGAACAATGCAACAGCTGGCTCAGACGTAGTAGCAATCACCTTGGCACTTCGATGGAGCATAGAGACATTGCGTTGCAGAGAGTCGGAACTGTCAGCATAAGAAGGAGGGGACACATCCAAATCAGTGATTTCTTGACCAGGTAAGTGTTTGCGGATCAGATCAGCAGCATAAGAACGACAAAGAAATTCAACAGAATCAGAGCCGAGAAATGAGATGTAGTGGATGCCATGGTAAGCGGTATACGGAAGATCTGTGCGAAGCAACACATGAAGGTCCCTGATTGGGCAACGAGCAAAACCAGAAAATCGGAGAGTAGTGAAGGATTCGGCACATTCTTTGACAAATTTGAAGCTTCTACGTGAGGTCGGCAGGTTGTCCAAGAGGAAGTACGAACATGTAAGCTCATTCATGGAATCATTGGCAGCAGATGATGAGGCTGGAGATGGGGCTGAGCAAGTAGCTGAACTGTCAAGAGTGGTGGTGGGAGTGTGGGTGGCACCAGGGGCAGTGCTGGTGGCAGTGTTGGTGGCACCAAGGGCAGAGGTGGCAGCGACTTGTAAATGTGGAGAAGAAGCTGGGAGAGTTGGAAGCAGATCAGGGTTGAGGGTAGCAGGGGAGAGAGCAGAAAGGGAGCGCAATAGAAGTGCAGAGCACTTTAGGAAGGTCAGGGAACTTGCAAAGTCAGAAGGCAGAGCAGAGCAAAGTGAGAGAGATAAGGGATGAGCAGAGGTAGCCCTGCTAGTCAGCAGACTGCTTTGAAGAGAAGCAGGTGAGAGGGTCAATGGAGAGCTAAGGGAGAGAGGAGCAGAGGTGAAAACAAGGGCAGCAGGGGTACAAGGGCTCACAGTTGCGATGGATAACGGGAGGTGAGGTGCAAATGATCATCGCAGAGGAAAATTAATCACGGTAAAATTAGATGTTTTTTTATTAACAATATTATTATTTATTTGCACATACAATGCATAACAAAAAACAACACCCAAAGTGCTTTACAAGATGCTGATGGACCAGCACATAGGGATGTTTTTTGTTTGCATTTTTTAACTTCATAATATGTATTTATTGTCCAACCAATACATATCACCCGCTGGTGCAAAATCCAAATACAAGTGTAAAAATACACGTAAATTGGCAGCACAGGAGGAGCCGTGCAAACCGTAGGTTTTAACTGGCGACCTCAGGATTATGAGACCTACAGGCTACCGACTGCGCTAAGGAAGCTTGATTTTTTTTAAACAATATTGTTATTTATTTTCCACATACAATGCATAACAAAAAACAACACCCGAAGTGCCTTACAAGATGGTCATGGACCAGCACATAGGGAAGCACGCGCAGCATAAGGAAAAGACAAAGCAAACCAGAGAATGTAAACTCCAACCTGTGGCTACCTGTCACATACTGCTAAGGTGCCAAAAAAAACCAGGTGAGTATTAAATAATGAAAAAAGAAAACGTTAAAGATCCACAAATGCAGGGCCAAAGAGGGAGTCTGGAGGAGAAACTTCTAATGGCAGACCCATACAGTGAAGCAAAATCTTATAGAGACAACGAAAAACTAGATACCACGGTGCAAGATTCGCTGGGTTGACAATGCGAAGTGGACGAAGGCTATCAATTGCAACATCAAGCGGAAGTTGTAAAACAGGAACAGGAACAGGAGGCAACAATAGGTCAAGACGCAAACATTCTGAAATATGAGATCTAGAGAGAGTTGCAGTGCGGCAGCAACAACACTGCTTGCGGGGGTGATAAAACAAACATCCAAGACGACACTGCAGAAGCCTCAAGATTGACGAAATAGGGAAGCATGGAGGAGCAATTGCTAGCGCATGAGGGTGGGCAGATGCAAGGGGAGCAAAGCTAGCAGCTATAGAACCATAGGCAGATGAGGCTACTTGGTGAAAGTGATTTGCGATAACATCAGAAGGTTTGGGAACTACAACATTTTGCAGCCGGGAAGAGGAAGTGATTGTTGAAAGGGACAGGAGAACAACAAAAGTGCTTTCCCTGGTGAAGAAAGAATGACAACATAGAGTGAACCATATCAGGGGCATCATCATCCAACCAATGTTGAAACATCTGAAACTGCAGATATTGAAGCCGAAACTGAAGGTCAGGAAACTTAAAAAACAGCAAAACCCCAGCAATTGAAGTGGGAATGAAAGGCGAAGAAATCGACACAAACTTTGGTGAATAAAAGTCCGAACTGGTTTGCAAACAGCAACAGAGGGAAGAATAAAATATAAACCAAATTTAAGCGTAGGTCGAATAAAAGACAAAAACAAATGACGAACTACAACCAGAGAATGAGAACCAAACATCCTTGAAAAAGAAGCTAAGCAAAAGAAGCTGCACGCGCTTTGGCAAGTGGATGGGAAATAGTCAGTGAAACATCAAATCCAGTATCTCCAGAAAAGCAACCCAGATAACGAAATGGAGGCTTGACAGGCAAAGTTTGACCATGAAGAAGCAAAGGCAAATTAGCAGGAATGGGAATTCTTGTGAGAATCACAGACTTCAAAGGAGCAAAAGAAAAACCACGAGCTTGGGCAAACTGTTCACAAACCTTTGAAGAGTTTGCCATACAAATTTGTTCGCTCGCTCGGCGCATCAACGCAGCTGCCAAGACTATTGCGAAGGGTTCAGCCACGGCAGTGATTTGCGAGAGAGGGGGTCCACTCCAGCAACCACTGAGCGATAGAGGGCAGGCTGAGCATCAACATCAGCAGCTTCAATACGAACAATGGCATTTGTTGCACAAGAGGCATATTTGGCAGTGTGGAAGAGCCCAGGAGTTCGAGTAGCAGGGACAGGCACTCGCAACTTGAGCGTAGGAAGGCACGGCAGAGACAGCAACAGGAGGGCAGCTGATATTTTCAACCAACGGAACAACAGCAATTGTCAATGCGGCAAAAAAGGCAGCCTCAGTTTCTGGTTCCAATACTGGGAGAAATTGCATTGCACGAGTGAAAGCAGACATCACTAATGGATGAGATCCAGAAGTTTGGGCAGGGGCCAGCATATGCAGAGCATCCAAGAATCGGTCACGAGGAGTAGGCAAGGGAGAGGTAGCATGATCAGCTGCAGAGGCATTCTTCTCGACCCTGGCACGAGAGGCAGGTCGGCGAGTCGGGGGTGATTTTGAGGCTCGACGTTTCCCTTTGGGATCAGCATCAGCAATGGTAAGTGACATTTCGACTGTATCATTCATGTGAACATCAACGACACTTGCGGGGGATCTTCCTCTAATTCGAGCCGGTTCTTAAGTGGATGATGCTTGGTCACGTGACCGGCAGTCACGTGATTCGCGAGGAGAATTCACTTCATCTGCCCACAGAAAATTTTCTCCATCAAAGTTGCTGGGCTGAGAGTCAGGAATAATTTCCTGAGGGGCGCGAGGGTGGGACACAGAGGGAGCACGGGAGCGAGCACGGCCAGAAGCGATGAAAATTTTTGAGGGGGGTGCGGCGGGCGGCGCGGCATGCGGCGCGTCAGGCGGCTGCGCAGGCGGAGCGCTGGGAGGCGGCATTGATTTGAGAGAGAGTGAGAGAAGAGTGAGAGAGAGTGAGAGAGTGAGAGAGACTGAGAGAGTGAGAGAATCAGAGAATCAGAGAGAGTGAGAGGGAACTGAGCCGTATGCGAAAGTAGTGTAATGGTTATCATTGTCGCCTTCCAAGCGACAGACCCGGGTTCGATTCCCGGCTTTCGCAACATTGTCTGATCAATCATCTCATGCTTACATTGTTTTACGTGGCGTCATAATGAATTACTATTGATTTTTTAAATTTTGATTTCAAATCAGGAATAGGCAACACTTCAAAGGACAGAAACACATACAATTTAGGTTTCAACCAAAAATATCTGATTTTTCAAAAAGGGTCCTACAACCGATGTTTTCAGTCAACAACAGACTGCTTCCATCTAACATTGCTTGCCCATAACCATCGCCACTCTCTTCTGCAGAAGAGGAGATCTACTAATCTCGTTGAACTGTTCCAATTGATTCATTCCACCTCTGAACACTTTGCTGCGTAAACTTCCAGTTGTGGTCAGAATAACATCATACACCACGATTATCTAGAATGGAAGATCTTCTGCAATTATGGCTCTCTGGTCTTTTGTTTAGATCTGGGAATGGGCTGTAGGTGTAATGGAGTCCATGTTCCATCTACACCTCGTCTGGAAGATTGCATCCACTGAAATGTGAATGTACGGCAAGCATCAACAGCAGTCACCTCTGGACTGCAATTGTGAGCAAAATCCTGGTCTTGGACGAGTGCCCTCTGCTGCTCCTTAAGTATGCCCATATATGGACATGGTAGCCTCTACGAATAAGAATATAATCAAACACACCTTGAATGAGTCCAGGAAATTGAGGGGATCAGAGAGAATATTCGAGCAACGTCAAGTGCAGCAGTTCTTGGAAGAGTATATGCAACCCATCTCAAGCGAAATGGTGACTGTCCACGAGTGCGAACTGGAATTGGACTGACTTTTGGTGCTACCAGTTCAAGAGTAATAGATTGTGCAGGCTCTCCAGAGGAGGCTGTTTCCATTTCTTCTTCTGCAGATGAGATAAGAGATCAAGTGATGCTAGTTGACTTAACTTTGACCATCCTACCTCGGGAGGGTCCTGAACATATGTTCTTGGAATGTGGTGGAAATCCTGAGAGCCAAGGCACTCAATATCTAAATAGTCCCCCTTTGTCAAGAATTTGCTTGCCCAGCCATAGGTAGGGTGAAGGAGTCTTGGGGGGACCACATATATTTTTCACTTTTTTGGCAAATTATCAGTTTTAACGCCTTTAACAAGATTGGCCCATGATTCCATGTGACTTGGAGTTTCTTGGTGCACACAAATTCTCAAATATCACTGATTTTTGGGGTATTTCTAATGGCTGGCGTGGGTATGGGAACACCAGCCTGTGGTGTTTGGCGTGAGAATTTTCTGGCCCTCTTCTCATGACAGTCTTGTTTGTGTGAAACTCCTGCACACCCTTATCTCAGAAGCAATGGGAACGATACCCCAAAATTCTTCCCACCTTGCCCTCTCGACTCAAACTTATACTTGCCCACCTGCTTTTATCCTTATCGTGACTCATTGTTCCTGCGTTCACCGTTTCTCACTGCTTGACCCATGGCTGGAGGATTTCCAATATCTCGCGTTTGTGAAGAAGTTTCTGGCTCAGGAGGCTCTCAACTAAGGGGTGTGACACAGTGTAAATGCTGTACCAAAGACGCCATTCTCACCCAACTTAGTTTGTTTATGCTGTCTAGCTAGCAATTCTTCTTGCCCTTCCTCGTCAAGAAACCTGGACGCTAAAGCGGATACTCCAAGAGGTAGGATCCTCTGTTCCTCTTCTGCAGAATAGATGGAGCCGTCTACTCACTCACACCTAAGGTTTGCAGGTCCAGGTCGGGTCCGGGTTTCAGAAGCAACCTGAGTAAAACGCTTATGTTGAGTTGAGTTTGTCCAGCCACCAACCAGGCACTGCGGGTAGGAGCAGTACCTGGACCTGAAGTGGTTGAAACCCGGACCCAACCCTGACCCACCAAGTTTTTGCAGCTCAGGAGAGGAGTGACCTAACTTCAGCTTGTTGGAGTATGAACATCACAGGACTCTATTACTACAGTCACTTTAACGAGCATATACATAACAGATGGACTGGATACGTCCAGGAGTTCTCAATTCGGGATGCAGAGACCTGTCAGTATAATTGTTAAGGAGATAACAATTGTTTATTCTGGAAGAGAGATATGTAGTTATGGTGGTAGAAACACATACTTACGTTGTCGACCTGTCTCCTGAAAGTAAAATAACCTTCAAGTAACTGTCCTTGCTTCTACAGCAATCCGCAAGGCTAAGTCCGAACACTGGGAGCAAGCAAACCAACCTACTGCTTCTGAAATCGTCTTCAGGTCACTCAGTAGTCTGTCTAGGATGATCTGTTGCTATTTGCAACACGTTCTTAGATCTGTGGTCACGTGTTCTATTTTCTAAGCCATTAACATAAATCTGAACAATTCAAAATTTAATTAAATTCTAAACAAATCAAAAATTAATTGAATTCTAAACAAAAGAAAGGAAATCCCATTCCCCCAACTCTTTCCCCAAATCTCTTTGTATGCCACATTTGCAGCGCACACCACGACGTGTCGTCTATGTTGTTACCAAATAGGGTAATATTACTTACATTACATGTTACATCAGTTCAAGGGTATTCTTTGTTCCTAACCGGGAACAAAGAATCCATTTTCTGCTCGAAGCATTATTAGTAATCACAGTAATATTTACTTATTAGGAACAGTAGTTTAGTAATTAAGCCATTCTGCTATATAAAAGTATGCAACGCTGATTGAATGGTGTGTATGAGTCTCACGATCTACTCTACTCAATCACGTTCGAACAGAGTATACTCAACTCCAATTACATCGATCTACCACAACATTCCACAAAACAATTATCAACAGACCATCAACAGTCACCGAGGATGAAACAACCACAACTACAACAATCACCTGTTTGATATCTCACAATCATTGTCGAAGCTGAGTATCGATCCAACTATATCATCAACATCCACAAAACCAAAGCCTTTCTGTGGAGGCTTGCTTCACAAAATTTGAGGTCTTCTTCAAGGACGTCAAGGCTTTTGTCAAATCGAAGGGATGTGCTTGACTCCTATATATCAGAATGCAATTGCAGAGCCACAACTCGTCACACGACCACTACCGCAAGTTCCAGCTGACAACACCGGGAGCAGATCAAGCTGTAGTGGAAACCTTTAACCGGCAAGTTACAGTGTTTAGTGCGGAACTGCAAATCGACAACATTGTTGTATCCGAGAATGGTCAGACCCAATAACAATACAAGAACGATATGACAACTTGGAGAGCGGACGACCTCAACAACCAAGTTGCGAAGTCAATCCTCAAAGAGTGTTTTCCTGTTTACTATGATCTATTCGAATCACTCAATCACGCAATAAACAAGTACAAGGAATCCAGGCAATCTTCGCATGAGACACTCAAATGCCAATGGAGGGACAACTATGGCAACAACATTTTGACACCATTATGCTGAAAGATAAGCAAAGTGCTTGATCAATTCAAACTTTTGCTAACTTGGTTTATGACTCCATTCAGGCAAAGTTGAAAATGACAGCAAGCGATGATGCTGTGGAGATTGCTGGAACGGGGTTGTTGCCAAGTTGCAGAAAGATGGACCGGACCTACAGTCACAACACAAGTTCATGGGGCAAATCACCACAAACTACACTAGCGAGTGGCAACCAAGCCAACAGGGAAACCCACCAGTTCTGGTGGTGAATCACAACAAGCGAACCCAGCTGGCGATGCTGACAAAATTCCGGACTCTCATTCAGTTAGAGGTGACGAAAAGTCATGTTTTGGGACAACACATCAAAGTTCACACACGGTCAGTTAAAGTCGAGCTGAAGTCTCTCGTCAAGGCTGGCGTCAATCCGTTGGATCTCTGTGTCCTTCATCCGGATGCATGACTGTCGCGTTCAAAAGAAGATGCTTGGTGCAAAGGAGAAGAAGAGTGGTTCAGGATCATTGTCAAAGCCATCACGGACTAAGACTGGTGACTGTAAGAACATCATCTGTACTTTCTGTTGATAGAAAGGTCACATTCAGCCGAAGTGTACTTTGTACATTAAGGCGAAACTCAAGGCTCAGAACCCCAAAGGCAATGTGTGGAGTTTTTGTTTCTTTCATAAAACGTTTTCCTTCTTTGTTTTGTTCTTTCAAAAGAAAAGTTCAACTCTGATGGTGTTAAAAAGATAGTTGATCCTTGGAGTTCTATGATTGGTGGCACACCCACCGCGCTATGTTTGGTGAAATGTAATTCTGACTTGATCGTTTTACTGATTGTTTTATGTTTGTGACAAAAGCTTTAAGCCGGCGCTCCAGAAATTCCAGAGCACCAGCAGGCTTGGAGGGACTTACCAAAGGAGGAAGCACATGACCAGGACAAATTAAGGAGGCTTTGTTGGGAATGGGGGAATCTATAAATTAAGGTGTGAGTCTTAAGGTTCCACTTATCATTGATCTTATCTGCCTCCCAAGAAATTCCAGTCCACAGGCTAATCCATATTCAGAGGGCACAGTGAAATTGGCAGTTGCGGTTCTAACCAAATTAGCTGATGCAGTATACAAGTGTCTCAATACAAGAAGTTCATCATAAGCAAGATAGTTGACTTTGGCACGACGAAGTTTTCGTGATTCGAATGCAATTGGTTCTAAAGTACCATCAACATGTTGTGATATCCACCAAGGGCACGTTTAGACCAATCAGGTTGTAGATAAATAGGAGCATTGGAATCAGAAATAATTAACATCTTAGGGGATGTCAAAAGGTTCTTGACTTCAATAAAAGCTTTTTCAGCTGCGTCACACCAATCTAGAGTCCATTGTTTATGTTTGGCACCAACAAGCAATTTGTTGAGGGCTGCAACATAATGAGTATACTTCCTAACAAAACATTTGATAGTATTGGTTTAGCCAAGGAATGATCTTAATTCTGTAAGAAGTATGTGGACAAGGCCAATCCTGAATGGATTGAATACAATCCAGAAACACACTAACAGTGCTGTGACCAACAAAGTGGCCCAGGTACTTTACTTGCTCCCTCCACGAAAAATTCTCATTTGTTCTCCTTTATATGTAGTTTGTTTTCTTTGAGCCT